TGTGAACCCCTTGTTTCTGTGTCCCATCTCTGGAACACCCTGTCTCTGTCCACCTTGTCTATTTCACGCAGTATTTTGTATGTCGTTATCTGTTTTCCCCCTGACCCTCCGTCCTCCAGTGTTGTCAGACCGATTTCCCTTAACCTTTCTTCATAGGACATTCCCCTTAGCTCTGGAACTAGCCCTCTTGCAAATCTTTGTACTTTCTCTAATTTCTTGACGTGTTTGACGAGGTGTGGATTCCAAACTGGTGCTGCATACTCCAGTATGGGCCTGACGTACACAGTGTATAAAGTCTTGAACGATTCCTTACTGAGGTACCGGAACGCTTTTCTCAGGTTTGCCAGCGCCCATATCCGCAGCAGTTATTTTGATTAATGTGTGCTTCTGGCGATGTATTCGGTATTATACTCACTCCTAGGTCTTTCTCCTTGAGTGAGGTTTGCAGCCTTTAGCCACTTAGCCTATACTCTGTCTGTAGTCTTCTTTGCCCTCCTCCGATCTTCATGACTTTGCATTTGGCGGGGTTAAATTTCCCTAGGAGCCAGTTTCTGGACCACACATCCAGCCTGTCCAGGTCTCTTTGTAGACCTGTCTGGTCCGCGTCTGATTTAATTCTCCTCATTAACTTCAAGTCATCTGCAAACAGGGACACTTCTGAGTCTATCCCTTCCCTCATGTCGTTCACATATACCAAGAATAGCACTGGTCCTAGGACTGACCCTTGTGGGATCCCGCTCGTCCCTGGCGCCCACTGTGATACCTCTTCACGGACCATGACTCGCTGTTGCCTCCCTGTTAGGTATTCTCTGATCCATTGCAGTGCCCTTCCTGTTATACGTGCCTGTTCCTCTAGCTTCTGTACTAATCTCTTGTGAGGAACTGTGTCGAAGGCCCTCTTGCAGTCCAAGAAAATAATGCAATCAACCCACCCCTCCTTCTCATTTCTTACTTCAGCTACCTTGTCATAAAACTCTAGTAGGTTTGTGACACAGGATTTGCCTTCCATGAATCCATGCTGGCTGTCGTTTATAATCTTGTTTCGCTCCAGGGGCTCCACCACTCTCCTCCTGATAATCTTTTCCAGACTTTGCATACTATACATTCAGTGACACTGGTCCTATAATTTTAGTACTTTATTTCTGTCACCCTTCTAAAGTTGGGGACTACATTTGCCTTCTTCCATACTTCAGGTAGTTGCCATTTTCAAGGGGAAATGTTGAAGATTTTGGTTAGTGGTACACGTAGTGTCCCTGCTCTTCTCTAAGGACCCACGGAGAGATGTTTGTCCGGTCCCACCGCCTTTGTGGTATCAAGGTCACCTAGGAGCTTCTCCACCTCCTCCTCAGTTGTGTGTAATTCATCCAACACTTGTTGGTATATCCCTTGTTGCTGTATGCTACTGTTTTGTGTTCCCGTTGTCCCTTCAGCCTCCACTGTAAATACTTCCTGAAATCTCATGTTGAGCTCCTCACATACCTCCTGGCCGGGTTTTTTTTTAAGCTCCTCACCTTCTTTCCTCAGCCTGGGTCACCTGGTCCTGATGTTGTTTTCCTCTGATGTGGCGTGAGTAGTTTCGGGGTCAGACTTGACTTTCGATGCTATGTCATTTTCATACTGCAGCTGCACCTCCTTCATTATCTGTGCATACTCGTTTCTGGCTCGTCGACTAATCTCTTTATTCTCCTGAGTCCTTTGCCTTCTGTACTTTTTCCATTCTCTAGAGCACTTAGTTTTTGCCTCCCTGCACCTTCGGTAAACCAAGGGCTCGTTCAGGGCCTTCCTATTATTTTTTGTTACCCTTGGGAACAAAAACCCTTTCCCCTGCCTCCTTGCATTTTGTTGTTACAAAAGTCATCATTTCGTTTTACGATTTCCTACCAAAATCCTGTTCCCATGAACCTCCTGCAGGAAGGTCCTCATTCCTGTGTAGTTCCTCCTTTTATAGTTTAGCTTTTCCCTTTCTACTCTTGTTACCCTCTCCACTTTTAGCTCCACGATGTATTCAAAGCTCATAACTATGTGGTCACTAGCTCCAAGGGGGCCCCTCATATGTGATGTGCTAAAAAGTCTGAGCTACTCAGGGTGAACACGAGGTCCAGTCTTGCTGGTTCATCCTCCCCTCTCTCTCTGGTAGTATCCCTAACATGTTGGTGCATGAGATGTGTGTGTGTACTCACCTATTTGTACTCACCTATTTGTGGTTGCAGGGGTCGATTCACAGCTCCTGGCCCCGCCTCTTCGCTGATTGCTACTAGGTCCTCTCTCTCCCTGCCCCATGAGCTCTATCATACCTCGCCTTAAAAACTATGTATGGTTTCTGCCTCCACTACATCACTTTCTAGGCTACCCAAATGGCCTGACAAACTCTATGACTGAAGAAATACTTCCTAACATCCTTTGATTCATCTGAGTCTTCAACTCCAATTTGACCTCTTGTGTCTGTGCCCCCATCTCTGGAACATCCTGTCTTTGTCCACCTCGTCTATTCCGTGCAGTATTTTTTATGTCGTTATCATGTCTCCCCTGACCCTCCTGGCCTCCAGTGTCGTCAGGCCGTTTTTCCCTCAACCTTTCTTCATAGGACAATCCCCGTAGCTCTGGGACTAGTCTTGTTGCAAACCTTTGCATTTTCCCTCTAATTTCTTGACGTGAATGACTGGGTTTGTGGATTCCAAACTGGTGTTGCATACTCCAGTATGGGCCTGACGAAAGATGGTAACAGAGTCTTAAACGAACCCCTTACTGAGGTATCGGAACGCTATCCGTAGGTTTCCCAGGCGCCCGAATGCTGCAGCAGTTATCTGACTGATGTGCGCCTCAGGAGATATGCTGGGTGTTATACCACCCCCAATCTTTTTCCTTGAGTGAGTTTCCCAGTCTTTGGGCCATCTAAACTATATTGTGTCTGCGGTCTTCTTTGCCCTTCCCCAATCTTCATGACTTTGCATTTGGCAGGGTTAAATTCAAGAGCCAGTTGCTGGACCAGGCTTGTAAACCCGTCCCCGGTCACTTTGTAGTCCTGCCTGATCCTCGTCCGATTTGATTCTTTTCATAACTTCACATCATCTGCAAACAAGGACACTTCTGAGTCTATCCCTTCCGTTCTGTCGTTCACATATACCAAGAACAGCAAAAGGTCCTAGGACTGACCCCTGTGGAACCCCGCTTGTCACAGGCGCCCACTCTGACACCTCGTCGCGTACCATGACTCGTTTTTGCCTCCCTGTCAGAAATTCTCTGATCCATTGCAGTGCCTTTCCTGTTATGTGTGCCTGGTCCCCTAGCTTTTGCAGTAACCTCTTGTGAGGAACTGTGTCGAAAGGCCTTCTTGCAGTCCAAAAATAGCAGTCGATCCACCCCTCTCCTCTTGTCTTACTTCTGTCACCTTGTCATAAAAAATCTAGTAGGTTTGTGACACAGGATTTTCCTTCCCTGAAACCGTGCTGGTTATCAATTATACACTTGTTTCTTTCCAGGTGCCCCACCACTCTCCTCTTGATGATCTTCTCCATGACCTTGCATACTATACATGTTAGTGATACAGGTCTGTAGTTTAGTGCCTCATGTTTTGTCTCCCTTTTTAAAAATTGGGGGCTACAATTTGCCATTTTCCATACCTCAGGGAGTTGCCCAGTTTCAAATGATGTGTTGAAGATCTTTGTTAATGGCTCACACAATCTCTGCTCCCTCTTTAAGGACCCATGGAGAGATGTTGTCTGGTCCCACCGCCTTTGAGGTGTCAAGTTCGCATAGCAGCTTCTTCACCTCCTCCTTGGTTATATGCACCTCATCCAGCACTTGCTGGTGTGCCCCCCTGTTCTGATTTCTTGGAGTCCTACTGGTTTCCACTGTAAATACCTCTTTAAATCTTGTGTTGAGCTCCTGACATACCTCTCGGTCGTTTCTTGTGAATTCCCCATCACCCTTCCTCAGTCTGATTACCTGGTCCTTGACTGTTGTTTTCCTCCTGATGTGGCTGTACAACAGCTTCGGGTCAGTCTTTACTTTTGATGCTATGTCATTTTCATATTGTCTCTGAGCCTCCCTTCTTATCTGTGCATATTCGTTTCTGGCTCTTCGGCTGATTTCTTTATTTTCCTGAGTTCTCTGTCTTATGTACCTTTTCCATTCTCTAGTACACCTAGTTTTTGCCTCCCTGCACCTTTGGGTGAACCAAGGACTCGTTCTGTTCTTCCCATTATTTCTGTTTCCCTTGGGAACAAACCTCTCCTCTGCCTCCTTGCATTTTGTTGCTACATAGTCCCTCATTTCTTGTACTGGTTTTCCTGTCAGTTCCCTCTCCCACTGAATGTCTTGAAGGAAGTTCCTCATGCCTGAGTAGTTCCCCCTTTTGTAGTTTGGTTTTTCCCAGCCTATTCCTGCTACTTTCCCCACTTGGAGCTCAACTATGTAGTCGAAGCACAGAACCACATGATCACTAGCTCCCAGGGGCCTTTCATACTTGATACCCTCGATGTCCGAACTACTCATGGTGAATACAAGGTCCAACCTTGCTGGTTCATCCTCTCCTCTCTCTCTGGTAGTGTCTCTAACATGTTGATGCATGAGGTTTTCCAGTACCACATCCATCATCTTGGCTCTCCATGTTTCGGGACCCCCATGGGGCTCCAGGTTTTCCCAGTCAATCTCCTTGTGATTGAAATCACCCATAACTAGTAACTTTGCTCCCCCCATGTGTGTGTGTGTGTGTGTGTGTGTGTGTGTGTGTGTGTGTGTGTGTGTGTGTGTGTGTGTGTGTGTGTGTGTGTGTGTGTGTGCGTGTGTGTGTGGTGTGTGTGTGTGTGTGTGTGTGTGTGTGTGTGTTTGTTTGTGTGTGTATATGTGTGTGTGTGTGTGTGTGTGTGTGTGTGTGTGTGTGTGTGTGTGTGAGTGTGTATGTGTGTGTGTGTGTGTGTGTGTGTGTGTGTGTTGTGTGTGTGTATGTGTGTGTGTGTTTTTTTGTGCGTGTGTGCAGGTTCCCAGTCACAATAGCCTGGATGAACCACCCACTATCACTCCACGTGGCCAATAACAACTCTGGGATATTGAGGGAGGAAGCACTTAGCCAAATGGCTGTGAGAGCCATCCTGGCGGAGGCTCGAGTGCCACTGTTTTTGCCAAGTCAGTCAGCAAGATATAGAGGACAATACCTTTATTCTCACGTCGAGGTTTTCGCCCAGTTGTTGTGTCTGAGAGGGTTGTGCTCCAGCTCCTGGTCCTCACCTTTGCACTTCGATTAAGTGTAATGGCTCACTCCATACCCTTGTGGGCTCGCTCATAACATCTGCTCCTGAGCACATCTATTACATTGTCCTCACTTACATCTCTTCCTAATGAATTCCATTTGCTTAAATTCCAACACTTTAAAAGAACTCAGTGTTTGAAATTCTAGCATGTGTTCTCTTATTTAGTTTGTCATATAATGTTCAAACACTTTCTTTCTAAGCTTGATGGACTGATTACATTATCCTTATTTCATTTCAGCTGTTCCTTTTGTATTTGACTGAAGAAGTCTACTGTGTAGGCGAAATGTTGCGTCACTAATGATACCCATCTCTTGCACACGTGTCTTAAAGTTGTCGGTATTTTATACTATTTTCAACAATATAATGTTGTAACCTTTCCATGAGCGGTGTTACTACTTCTTCCCGAGTCCAATAACTGTCTTCTACAACTCTGTTGGTGACGAAACACTTCCTGTTATTTCTTTTGGCTTCACCTTTTCTAGGTTATAAATTATGAGTTCTTGTTCTTGTTAAAAGGAGCTGAAAAATTATCTTCTATTACTGTTCATCAGTTGATAATGTTGTATTAGATTGTAATATGTTATTTTTCTCCTTTTATGACAGTATTACATGTTCACCTTGTCAGCGAGACAGGTGACACGAATAAGAAGAAACACTTTCACCATCACTCCATCACTGTCGTTCCAGAGGGGCGTCAATACTATACTTCAAAACTGTAAATATCCCCACCCCTGCTTCAGAGTGCAGACACTGTACTTGCCACCTCCACGACTCAACTCCGGCTAACCGGTTTCCCTGAATCCCTTCATAAATATTACTTTGCTCACACTCCAACAGCGCGTCAAGTTATAACAGGCTTGTCTCCACTCCTATCTAACACGCTTGCACACGCTTGGTGGTGTGTAAACCCCTCTCACACAAAGCCTTCTTTACCCCTTCCCTCCAACCCTTTCTAGGAAAACTCATACCCCGTCTTCCCTCCGCCACAGATTTATATATCCTTCGAAGTATCTTATTTTGTTCCATCCTCTCTAAATGTCCGAACCCCCTCAACAACCCTTCTTGCAACATTCACCACTTATGCTTCACACCCATACAAGAGTGTTGGTACCACGATACTCTCATACATTCGCCTTATTGCTTCCATGGATAACTTTCTTTATCACGACAGATGTCTCAATGCACCACTCACCTTTTTTTCCCTCGTCAGTTTTATGGTTTGCCTTGCCATTCATAGACCATCTGCCGACGTGTATGTATATGTGTATGTGTGTGTACTCACCTAATTGTACTCACCTAATTGTGGTTGCAGGGGTCGAGACTCAGCTCCTGGCCCTTGTGTGTGTGTGTGTGTGTGTGTGTGTGTACTCACCTAGATGTACTTACCTAGTTGTGGTTGCGGGGGTCGAGTCACAGCTCCTGGCCCCGCCTCTTCAACTGGCCGCTACCAGGTCAATTCCCGCTCCGTGAGCTTATTCATACCTCTTCTTAAATCTATGTATGATCCTTGTTGCAACCCCTGAATTATGTATATGTATATATATAATTATGTATTATGTATATATATAATTATTATCTTTTCATATAATTTTATACTGCTTATATTTGCGATAATAGCTAAATCGTGAATATATTGCTTTATAATGTTATTTGACCTAGCTTCCTTTGGTTAGGTAGGATGTTACATATTATGTGCTCAGTTCAAGTCTTGATTGTCTAACTACTGTAATTATCGCTTGTGGCTCGTTAGACTGCCGGCTTCTGTTTCTGAGCTGCAGCTGTCCACGGAGCTATCACGTGATCGAGCGGGGGTGTCCTCACCTCGCCTGAAGTATTCAGTCTGGTCTAGACTCTCTTGGTGGTTGGACAGATTGTCTGTCTCACTATTCTTGTTAGTTCTGTTGAACTCTGTTCACAGAACATTGTATAGACTTAGTGATTTTCGACGTCGTTCTGAGGTTGTGTGTCGCATAGACACTCTGAGCAACTCAGGTCCTGAGCTGTAGCTTCTGACCTAACTTGTACTGGTATCTGTGAATTATCACAGTCGGGGATTTTCTTATGCTGAACTTAGATTCAGTAATATGGGAGTTTTGTGACTTTTGTGGAGGATCTGCAGATGGTCCCTACTTAGTTATATTATCGTTATATTATCTCCTTGTTCCTGATTCTGTGTCGCAGTTGCTTGTTATATTGCTATTGGGCTTAGCATTCTTTTTATTGCTCAAGCAGACTGTTCTGATTGCCAGTTGGTTAAGAAGTTAGTTTATTTGAGGACATAGCGAACTACTTAGAGCACTTACACACATACACACAAACTTACTTGTATATATTTGTAATATCTTATTAAATGTTAATGTACCAGACGGTACTTAAGAATTATAATGTGATATGTGCTTTCAGCACAATAATATTGTACTCGAGAGAAGTGATATTATTTTGATTACTGTGATTAATTTAATTTAATTTAATTTGATAATATACCTCTAGACTTAATAAATTTATTAAATTTTAATTTCTCTAGTTAGTAGCCTACCAGTTGTAATCCTGAAGCACTATTGAATCATACTGAATTCTAATGGATAATTGGACAAGGATACTGACTATTTGTTACAAAAACCCAGTAACAGGCTGGATGCTAGAAGGACAGTCCTTTCTAGTATTCACTGGAGATCTCTAAGCTTTTAGAATCGCGTTTTTTGTAACAATCCTGCTTCCACTACATCACTACCGAGGAAATACTTTCTAACATCCCTGTGGTTCATCTGAATCTTCAACTTCCAACTGTGACCTATCGTTGCTGTGTCCCATCTCTGGAACATCTTGTCTCTGTCCACCTTGTCCATACCTCTCAGTATTTTATATGTCGTTATCATATCCCCTCTAACTCTCTCGTCTTCCAGTGTCGTCAGGTCGATTTCCCTTAACCTCCCTTTAGCTCTGGGACTAGTCTTGTTGCAAACCTTTGCAATTTCTCTAGTTTCCTTACATGCTTGGCTAGGTAAGGGTTCCAAACTGGTTCTGCATATTCCAATATGGGCCTAACGTACACAGTGTACAGGGTCCTGAATGACTCCTTATTTAAGAACATAAGAACATAAGAATGTAGGAACACTGTAGAAGGCCTACTGGCCCATACGAGGGAGGTTTTTTGGGGGGGGTTTTTTTTTTTTTTTTTTTTTTTTTTTGGGTTTTTTTAACCTTTTTTGGTTTTTTTAAAAATTTTTTTTTTTTGGGGGGAAAATTTTCCCAAAATTGTTAAAAAAATTTTTTTAAAAAAGGGCCCTTTTCCCCCTTTCCCAAAAAAAAATTTTTGTATTTTTTCCCCCAAAATTTTAAAAATTGTAAAAGGGGGAAAAATTTTTTAATTTTTTTTTAAAAAAAATTTTTTAAAAAATTTTTTTAAAAAAAATTTTTTTTTTTAAATTTTTAAATTTGGAAAAATTTAAACCAAAAAATTTTTAAAAATTTTTAATTTCTTAAAAATTGGAAAAAAAAACCAAATTTTAAAAACCCCAAAAAAAAAAATTTTTAAATTAGGGGGCCAAAATTTTTTTAAACCCCTTTTTGAAAAACCCCCCTTTTTCCCAAAAAAACCTTTTTTTTTTTTTTAAAAAACCCCCCTTTTCCCAAAAGGCCCCGGGGTTTTAAAATTTTTTTTTTTTTTTTCCCCCTTTTTCCCCCAATTTTTTTCCCCCCCCTTTTTCCCATTTTTTTCCCCCTTTTTTTTCCCCCCTTTTTTTAAATTTTTCCCCCCCCCCTTTTTCTTTTAAATTTCCCAACCTTGCCCCCCTTTTTTTTTCCCGGGGGCCCTTTCCAATTTTTTTTTAAAAGGTTTGGGGGGGTTCCCTTTTTGAAAAAAAAAAAGGGAAGAAAAGGGGGGGGGGAAAAAAAAGAAAAAAATAAAAAACCCCCAAAAGGGAAAACCCCCCAAAAAAAAAACCCCCCCCCCAAAAAAAAAATTTTTTTTCCCCCTTTTTTAAAAAACCCCCCCCCCCCACCCTTTTTTCCCCATTTTTTCCCCCCCCCAAAAAAAAATTTTTCCCCTTTTTCCCCCCAAAAAAATTTTAAAAAAAAACCCCCCCCTTTTTTTTTTTTTTTAAAAAAAAATTTTTAATTTTTTTTTTGCCCGCACCCCAAATTTTTTTTTTTCCCCCCCAAAAAAATTTTTAATTTTTCTTCCCCCCCCCTTTTTTAACTTTTTTTCCCCCGGGGTTTTTTAACCTTTTTTTAAAAAAAAGGGGGGGCCAAAAAAAAAAATTTTTGGGGGGCCAAAAAAAATTTTTAATTTCCTTTTGGAAAACCAAAAAATTTTTTTTTCCCCCCCCCTTTTTTTTTAAAAATTTTTCCCCCCCCCCCCTTTTTTTTTGGGGCCCCCCCCTTTTTAAATTTTTTTTTTTTTTAAAAAAATTAAAAAAATTTTTTTTTTTAAAAAAAAAGGGGGGCCCCAAACCCTTTTCCCCCTTTTTTTAAAAAAAAAAAATTTTTTTTTTCCCAAGTTTTTTTTTAAAAAATTTTTTTTGGAATTTTGAAAATTGGAAAAAAAAAGTTTTTTGGGAAAATGAAAAAAATTTCCCCCCCCCTTTTTTTTTTTAAAATTTTTTTTCCCCCAAAAAATTAACCCCTTTCCTTTTGGGGCCATTTTCCCAAATTCCGGGGTTTTCCTTTAAAAAATTTTTAAAAAAAAAATTTTTTTTTTTCCCCCCTTTAAAAAAAAAAATTAAAAAATTCATTTTTTTTTAAAAAAATTTTTTTTTGGGGAAAATTTTTTTTTAAAGGGGGTAAAAAAATTTTGGGGGGGTTTTTTCCCGGTTTTTTTTTTGGGGGGGGGCTTTTTTAAAACCCCAAAAAATTTTTTTTTCCCCAAAATTTTTT